TTAAACAATCTTCTTTTTTTACCATCTCGACCAATATGTCTAGTGTAATATTGCTTTGTAATGCCTCAAATAAGTTCAATTGAATTAAATATACAATGATAAGGAGGGAGGCGTAATACTTTATGTCCGTATTGTTCTGCTAGAAGATCAGCCATGTAAATTTTTGGTGGTTTATTTCTTAAAAAACAAAATAATTGAGAAATTACAGACGAAACAGATTTCTTTTACTGACTGTGCAATTTGATTCAGAAGTTCCGCTTTAAACATAACAAATGAAAATCCAATGTTGTGATTTGCCAGCTACTCTTGTATTTTAATCTTTGTCCAGCTACCGTTTGGTGTTTTCTGTAACAATGTACTGTGAAATGAAGCATTGTCCATTATGATTAAGGATGGGTTAGTAAGTTTTTTCAATAACTGTTCTTCAAACCATTTTAAAAAAATTCTCATTCTCACTCAGCTTACCTTGTGACGCAAATATAGCCTCTGCTCCTTCACTGAACCCATTTTCATTTCCAACATTGAGTATAATGTAAACATAAATAAAAATTTTAACTTACCTTTTACCATCAACTTTTGTGGTTTTCACACTTCTTTTAATTTTATCTTGCCAAGAACAGTTTTGAAAAATCCACGTCTCATCAATAAAAACAAACTGAAATAAACCTGTTTCCTTTTCTTTCATGTAATTTCTTAAAAATACGACCCATTTCACAGCAACATCGGAAAGTTCCATAAGCCCGTGCCTTGGATCATCTTTTTTTCATCTAAAACCAATATTTTTTTAATAAGGTGCATAATGACAGCTTGATTTCACTATATCACTCAAGGCGGCCCATCATTTCGTTTTGCCTGGGAGAGTGCAGTCGACGGTTCGCTACTACCATCACTTCCCGCACTCCCACTCTTGACTGCCAATGTTCTTTACATTATATTACAAAGAGTAATCACACAAAATTTGTTTATCTGCTAACATATAGGTATTTATAATTAGATGATATAAAATGAATAATTTACACTTACTAGCTTCATACATGTTGTAATTGCGACGAGGAAGAATATGGAAAAAAGATATGACAGTGAAATATTAATGACCAGGGTGACTGACATTGCTTCTAATATTTCAAACTTATTAGTAACTCTAGAAAAGCTAACTCCATAACTTACGGAGCATCTCTCAATATAATGGCTGATATTGTAGTTCATTCAATACCACAAAAAGAAGTTCTAGAGAACAAAAATATAAACTCCTCTTAATATTAACATAATATCACATCTAGCAAAACTTCAAAGAAGTCAATAATACCATCGCCATTTAAAAGAATCTTGTTTTGGCCTGAGCAAAAAAAACAAAGATGTTAAAAAGAGGCAAAAGAAAAAAATACCTTTAGTTATACCTTTACAACCATGACAGGAATAAAACAGAAAAAATATGCTACAAAAGGATCGAAAGGAAAGAGAAAAGCTCAACAGAAAAATTCAAGCGGAAGAAAAAAGAGACAGTAAAAGTAAATTACAAGATAATAAAAATCTGAAGAAACTAAAATTAGACGAGTCCAGATAATGAAGATGTGAAATATGCAGAATCGGATGATTTCAACCTGAAATATTGAAGAAGATAAAGAAGGAGACCAAGATATAGAAAAAGTGAAGTCTCTGAAACACATTAACGAACTAAGAAATGGTGATTTTATATAGGTTAATTTTGTAGGAGGCAAAATAAATACTCAGACGTTTCCATATGTATGTATTTTACAAGAGATCGTCGGGGACGACATTAGTAATATGGCTTCAAACTGTATTGACACAAGCAAGAAAACGTTCATTGCAAATGAAAAGGATGCTTTAACAGTGTTCATGAAATATAAAAAATGTATTACCATTTTATATATGTTTATATTGTCTATATAGATCATGTAAAATAAGAATACGTTTGTTAAACAATGTATGCTAATAAATTTTATTTTTATTAGTATTTTTCCCTCTATGTTTAATTATTGTCACCCATTTCCTACAATGTCAGCTATTGGAACATTTGACAAGTCAGGCAGAGGTTCTTTATGTCATATACAGGTATATAGGTGGATTATAAAAAAAAAAAAATTTGAAAAAATATTTTAAGTAACTAAATAGTGCATTCAATAGCTGAATGTACTTGTTTTTAGATTTTTTTAAAAGTTCATTTGCAAATTATTTTTATTTTAGCAAAATTACATCCCTATAATATCATGTACCAGTACACTTCTTACTAAAATATAATTTTTTTTATATTTTTTGTTTAAATAATTAAAAAATTGAAAGCGCAAAAGAAATTTGGTAAACTTCGCAATTTAAAGTATAAAAAACAAAATTCCACTTCCACCATATAAATTTATTTACTGCAGCAGAAAGTCCGAGGTCAAACCCCCTAGGCGCTCCACTAAATGGGCTAATGTACAACCCTTTAGTTAACGTTCGAGAAAATATTACATGATTATAACATAAACTTCAAAATTTAAGCCATCTTAAAGCTGCTGAACTAGAAATAATTTTTGACAATAGAATGAGGAATGGTAAAAAAGGAAGAATAAGATATAACGTTTTAATTATTAAAAAACATATTAAAGATATGTTTAATTAACTGAAAATATGTTACCCATACAAAAATAAAATTGTACACAAATCTTAGTGTAATCATTGTATGAAAGACTTTAGACACAAAAATATTAATATCAAAGCTTACCATAATAAGTCAGACGGCTTCGGAGATTTAAAAAACATTTAATTCATAGTAGATTACTTCGATTTAGAGTTACGTCTTCCCATATCAAAATTCAGAATGAATGACAATTTCAAAAACATTAGCGGTTGACAAAACATACAATCGTGACACCGATTAGAGATGGGACATACGGTATTCCAGATAATTTATATTTTGAAAATAGTAATGCTAATTAACAACATGGTTTTGTATTAAAAAAAATCTAATAATTGGATTTTGCTTTTATATACTTATATACTTTTATATACTATTTTCAACATGATTATTTGACATTGTAGACCATGATGTGTTACTAAAAAAAATACATCGGTTAGGACACATCTTTATTTAAAAGCAATTTACAAGACATGTTCTTTATAATAAGAAAAATTTACAACATATTCAGGTGTGTAGCAAGGGTCAAATTTGGGGCGCTTGCTATCCTTGTGTGCATAAATGATCTACCAACCGTAATAAATTACACAACATACCTAATCTTTGCTGTTGATTTGACAGTATATAAAGAAATTCAAATAGTCCATGCTTGTATTCTATTTCAAAAATTTAAATTAATCTTTATTTTAAAAAATGTAGTGTTAATATAGTCCAGAAGGCAGTGACGATTTTCGGTACTTATTTTCCCAGTTAGCAAACCTATATAGAATTGTAGGGTTCTTTCCGATAGGTTCAGGCAGAAAATGCTTCATAACGTACGAAAAGACGACCCATTTTTTTCAGTGATAATAGATTTGTTCCAACACAATAACAAATCGGTTTAGGTACATACTGTCGGGATTCTGCGCTGTCTAGATTGATGTTCCAACAAACCTCGGACTCAAAACTGTACAAAAACCTAGTGTTTCAACATACTCAAACCTACTCACAAACTAGTTTCTGTACTGTCAAATGAATAGGAACGAATTGTCAAGACATGCGCAAAATGAAAGTAAGCTTAGTAAATAAATCACGAGCAACTCACGAGCAACTATATTCATTTTGATAACATCGATCGTAGTTTTGATAGTAATTTGTTTTTTGTTCATTATCATTATTTATAGTATATTATTTTATGAGTAATTGAGTGTAAAAAGTGAAAAGGACTATTATTCTGACTTAGATACAGTAAAAAATAAAATAAGTTAATGTACTAACCAATCGAATAATCAAAATTTAAAAATTTTTAATGAGTTTTATAATTTATTTATTTACCAAATTCAAAATTTAACATGTGACAGTGTGTTTGACAACAGAAACATGTGTTCCGTTCCAACACAACCAAGTTCCTAATTCAGTCACAATCATCGACAGGTCGTGGACGAGTCGTCGACTATCAGTCGTCGACAATAAGTTGTGAACTGGTTTGTGTATGGTTCCAAGATTTTTGTTGGAACAAACCTAATATTGGTTCTAGTAATAAGAGGTATACTAAAATTAAGTTAAAAAAATAGTCTGGCTAATCTGTGAGTGTGGATAATATATATAGCAAGTGATAAACTGACACATTTCAAGAAAAACATTTCCTACATTTTCGCTGTCCATGAAAATTTATGTGACACATTTTCAAACCCGGAAAATAAAAGCAAAAATTTTATATTTTTTCCGATTTTCAATATGCTGCCAGAATTATTTGCCAATTTCGTAAATCAGCCAGACTTATTTTTAATTACAGTTAATGATTGTATCAATCAACGATTTTAAAATAAAGCTGTTTATACCAAAATTTTAATTATAAACATATAAGTTGACTTAGAAAAAGGGTGTGGGGGAGATGCTTCTCAAATTACTCTGCTATCTCACAATTATTATTCTTATTAATTTAATAGTTAGAAGTTAGAAGGTCTAAAATAATTAGGCCAATAACTTAAACACTTTTTATTATTAGCCGACCTAGTCACGCATTTGCGTTTATATAAACATAAGCAAGAAGATAATTTTATTTATCCTTTCTATTTTTACGTATAGTATTCTGTATAAACAGCTACATTAAAGTATGATTAATTTAATTTTTACACTAATGTCTATGGTCTTTGTGTTAATGCTTATTACTAAATCAGGCTGACTAAATGCACCTTCGGTTAATACCTCTGACAGGTCTAATCTTCGAATTCCATTGTCCTTTAGCTTATGTGTACACGATCTTTCATTTTGTTCATATTCTGTTGATATAATCTGTTACAAATTCCTAATTAATTATTGCTCTAGTTGTATTTATTTTGTATTGCTTTTTATTTATTGTTATTTATTTCTCTTATTATTTCAGAATGAAAGACAAAGACTGATGAGAAGAAATATAGTGAGGTATGCCGTTTTAGCATACGTTATAACGTTACAAAGGATTTCACTTAGAGTTAAGAAGAGATTTCCATCATGGCAACACGTTGTAGATTCGGGTAAGATTCCGATTTTAAAATTTATATACTTTTAAAATACTTTCTCTGTTATCATCATAAACCATAAGATTTTCCCGTCCATAATAATACTGAAAATTAATACATTATATTTTAAAAAACATTTATTTAGCTTAATAGTAAAAAACCATTACGTCTTAATAGTATGCAATATTTCTTCTTCTTCTTCTTCTTCTTCTTCTTCTTCACTTCTTCTTCTTCTTCTTCTTCTTCTTCTTCTTCTTCTTCTTCTTCTTCTTCTTCTTATCTTCTTCTTCTTCTTCTTCTTCTTCTTTCTTCTTCTTCTTCTTCGTTCTCTTCTTCTTCTTCTTCTTCTTCTTCTTCTTCTTCTTCTTCTTCCTTCTTCTTCTTCTTTCTTCTTCTTCTTCTTCTTCTTCTTCTTCTTCTTCTTCTTCTTCTTCTTCTTCTTCTTCTTCTTCTTCTTCTTCTTCTTCTTCTTCTTCTTCTTTCTTCTTCTTCTTCCTTCTTCTTCTTCTTCTTCTTCTTCTTCTTCTTCTTCTTCTTCTTCTTCTTCTTCTTCTTCATTCTTCTTCTTCTTCTTCTTCTTCTTCTTCTTCTTCTTCTTCTTCTTCTTCTTCTTCTTCTTCTATCTTCTTCTTCTTCTTCTTCTTCTTCTTCTTCTTCTTCTTCTTCTTCTTCTTCTTCTTCTTCTTCTTCTTCTTCTTCTTCTTCTTCTTCTTCTTCTTCTCTTCTTCTTCTTCTTCTTCTTCTTCTTTCTTCTTCTATCTTCTTCTTCTTCTTCTTCTTCTTCTTTTTTTTTTAATTTTTGAATATGAATTCGCTCGAGATGACAATTTAAAAACTTTGTATAATGATATCAGAAAAGTAAAACCTAATAAACATTTGTTTTTGTTATTTAATTCAGATAAATATGTTATCCTTCTCTTTATATTTTACCATTTAAGTTCCTCTTTCGAATTCTAGAAACGGTTTTTAAGCATTTTCTGAAAGATTTTAGCTTTTATTTGACACTAATTCTATCATAATAGGAGGTTTAACTAATAATCACTTGATTAAGTACACGTGGGAAGAGGCTGTATCATATTTAGACGCACGTGGTGTTATTCAGCTGCATGTTTACAACTCTTTCACACTTAGACTATAAAAAATTAATTAAACAAAAAAGGAGGATCAGAACTAAGAAAAACTGGCAGCTAGCTGGCGGCTCCTACCTAATGTACCTGAGCAAGCGCAGTCACAACTAAACAGAAAAAAAACCTCTAGCAGTCAAAATAACAAATTCAAATAAAGAATAACAATGAGTGAACTGTAAGTGTTGTTCACAAATGGTGAGACGATTTTTTGTAGGACAGGAAAAACAGTGTCCCAGAGTCCCCATGCTAATAAAATAAAAAGAAAGGTTTTTTAGTTTGGGCTATTTTTTGAGAGAATACAAATAATTAAAATATTCGATATCTGGTTTATCAATTTCTTCCTGGGCCATCTTCGTTGTCTTTTTCTTGATTTTCATATTTCCATTACTTTTCTAACTATCCTGTTTGATTTATTCTCATTAGATGACCATATTAATTTAATTGTTTTGATCTTTGTCATTTTTGTTGCTGCTATTCGCTAGCACAAATTATTGCTGGTACGGTATGTTGTGAGTTTTTATTTCTGTATAAATATCACATTATTGTCTGATCCCATTTCTAGTATATTTGTAATACTAAAATATTATCCCAATATTTTGAAATTATATGTTGTTTTAAAGCCTCTCTTCATAATATACTCTACAACCATCTCTTTCCGTTTCATCCCATTTAATCATCTCTGAACCTATGCCGTCTTCGTCAGATGAGACATACAAAAAACTACCTACTCATTATCTCTTGTAATAATGAATGAATGATAAACATCGTCTCGGTCAATTAAAAAAACAATCATTTCAAGCAAATATTTCCCAAATTACGTATTCATCGTGTTTCGCTTGCAGAGATGAAATTGAGTGCGTATAAACAATACTTAAATCAATCACTTAACAAGAAAACAATATGCAAATTAACTAAACACTTTATAACATAATCGAAATAATAGTCATCGAACAGGATACACTCATTTTACCATAGAATACATCGGTTTCCGTTCGAGCCTCCATCTCCATTATGATTCGTTATTATTACTATTATTAACTGAGGTAGTGTGAATCCGGTCGAATCCAAATGCTGTTTCAAGCATCAATAAATTAGCTTTTGTCAAACGGGGTAGTCATGTGAACGCTAGACCTCAACTCAGACTTTCGATAGTTTTGATCGTTTTTTTTTATATACTTAACAAATTAGTATTATTGTTGAGGATTTGTATTTTTTACTTGATCTAAGCTAAAATTAACTAATTTACGCGACTGCACTTCTGCAGTTAAAATATGACAATAAAGTGCAATAATGGCGAAAATGTTTTAAAACATAACTTTGTAAGCAATACTCGTGCATTATACTAAATGGTTATTAATGAGAATATCAATAAATCGAATTAAATCTTTGCCCTTTGGCTTTGACAACACTGTTTCCGTAAATACACTACTGAACTTAGCTTATTTTTCTCGTTACCCTGAATCATTTAATCACATTTTCACAAAGTTGGTTTAGCTGTAACTATAAGGGCAGAGATTAGGGACATAAAGATAGGAAACGCAACGACCGCAGCAACGATGGCGTCATCTAAGCGTCTCAGATGTTAACTAAAGTTATACAGACCAGTGTTGCCAAACATGTTTTTGAGAGATCGTACAAGTAGAGTAGAAAAATAGTATTTCGGCTTAAATAGTATGAAAAAATAAAAAAAAAACTTTGGCATGATAATTTATTTAACTATTTATAAAAATGTTTACAACGAAAAAAAAACAAAGAAAATACTTGAAACTTTAAATTTAAATTAACACATTTAAAGTAATCAGTGACTGTCACTTGAAAGTGATTAACATTTTGTATGCAAGCTTTTCTTATGCCGTGATAGTCGGTGTTGGTACAAAATCACCATAGTCCAAATCACGATAAGTGAGAACGAAAATGACTGCCTTCAGAAATTACGAACAATTTTTGCAAGCAGTTTTTGATTTTTGTTGTTTTATGTTCTGTAGTTGTTGCAGATATTTAAATAAACCTACTAAAAAAGGAAAGATCGTATTTTTACGTACGATCTCACTGATGCAATCGTACATCGTACAGAGAATTAAAAAATAGCATAAATACGATTTAAATCGTACGGTTGGCAACACTGTGTGACAGGCTTTTGGTTCACCTACAGTGAATCAGCGAGTCTGTGTGGTGATGGTGATTCCCGAATACATCGTTCATATAATTATGTACGATGCCGAATAGGGGTTGCCCAGGCGCCAGTTTTGGTATCGCAGTTTGCTCTGCGACCCTTTGGTACACCAGAGTATACTCAAGGTAAACTCAGTGGAGGTAAAAATAATTCTAGGCGGTCACTGCTAGGTAGCCACTATAATAGAAAAAAAAATAGAACACTTATCTCCTTTACACCTGGTACCCTACGGTACCCTGAAAGAGAACGGTTAAGAACCAGCAATAAGAGAAACACAGGAATAGGTAATAAAATATATATTTACAAAAATAGTATATTACATTACGAGTGTGGAAAGTGACATTTTTCACACGAGTGGGAAATATAGTCGCACGAGGCGCAAGCCGAGTGCGACTATCACACGAGTGTGGAAAATCACTTTTCACACAAGTGATGTACAATATTTTTCCTACGACCACAAAATAATGTCATCAAAAAAATGTAAAACCAAGGTTATTATTACTATAATAATTAAAATGTATTTAAAAAAATAATCAACAATAATCGTATTTATTCAATTTTCATATTTTCTAAACAAAAAAAACTAAAAAAAATAAAAAAAAATAAAAAAAAATAAAAAAAAAACAAAAAAAAATTTCTGCCCCGACAGGATTTGAACCATAGATTGAACGCAGTCGAAAAATGGCAAAATTGATAAGTTCGACGTCCTAACCAGCTGAGCTAACAGCCCTTGTGTCAATTGAATGATCTAATCGGTTATGTATTTAACCAAAATAAAGAGCAAACATTATTTTAAAATTATTTTAATAATAATTGTTAAAGATAAATATCTAGGATCTAATTTACAACAATTTCAATAATTTAACAATCATATCGATTTTAGTATTAATATGGATATTACATAGATCAAAATAGAAATTAGCTTACAAAATAATATCAAAAAAATGTAAAACCAAGGTTATTATTACTATATTAATTAAAATGTATTTAAAAAAATAATCAACAATAATCGTATTTATTCAATTTTCATATTTTCTAAACAAAAAAAACTAATAAAAAATAAAAAAAAAAACAAAAAAAAAATTCGGCTCCGCCAGGATTTGAACCATAGATTGAACGCGGTCAAAAAATGGCAAAGTTGATAAGTTCGACGTCTAAACCAACTGAGCTAATGGGCCTTACGTCAATTGAATGATCTAATCGGTTATGTATTTACCCAAATTAAAGAGCAAACATAATCTTAGTTATTTTAAAATTATTTTAATAATAATTGTTAAAGATAAATATCTAGGATCTAATTTAAAACAATTTCAATAATTTAACAATCATATCGATTTTAGTATTAATATGGACATTACATAGATCAAAATAGAAATTAGGCGTTTGACATTTTTTGACAACTACTGCGGAAAGTAACATATTCTCACTTGGGTGAAAAGTAAATTCTTAGTCATACGCGTGTGATATAGGACACTTTCCATAGGACTATATAGTGTGATATGTGTCACTTTCCTAAGTGGTCGTAGGAAAAAAATATAACAGTGGTATTGCACGGTTCTGGCACGGCTGTAAATGGAAAATTAAATAAAATGAATAATTACACTGGAAAACTAATTAAATATTAATGGTTCCCTGTATTCGGAAAACATCAATGAAAACTAATTAAATATTAACAGCTCCTTGTATTCGGAAAATTTATTAAAAATAAATTATTA